TTCCTTTATATTGTTTTTTTTTTTTAGCCTATAGAGGCCACTGGTGAGCAAAGGCCTCTTTCCCACAAGGAGAAGGTTTGAGCATTAATCACCACGCTTGCTCAAGACGGGTTGGTGATTTCAAACTTATAATTGTGAAACTATAAGTCCAGGTTTCCTCACGATGTTTTCCTTCACCGTCTGTCAGAGATGTCTAAATACTCTCAGAAATCTAAACTAAGAATCTAAACTTTATATTGGTTACTGTGTTTATAATTATAATATTTATGTCTCCGGTTATCCCAGAGGATATAACAAGAATCATAAAATCTTTAAAAAATAAAACTAGCTTTGGATATGATGGTATTTCCACGCACGTCATAAAATTTGTGTCGAAAAGTATAGCTTTACCTTTATGTCACCTAATTAATATTTGCATAACTTCAGGTATCTTTCCCGATACTCTTAAAACTGTATTAGTAAAGCCTATATACAAAAATAAAGCCAAAACTGATATGAAGAACTACAGACCCATTGCTTTGATTCCAATATTTTCTAAATTATTTGAAAAAATCATCTATGAACAATTCTATACATTTCTAACTAAATACAATGTTTTATGTAATGAACAGAAAGGATTTAGGAAAAATCAAAATAAAATTTGGCTGTCTACGATCTTTTGAATATTGTAATGACTAATGTTGATAAGAAAGTACCTATTTGTGCGATATATACTGATATGTCCAAAGCGTTTGACTACGTAAATCATGAGACATTGCTACATAAACTTTATGTGTATGGAATACGCGGCAATGCCCATGATTTAATAAAGTCATATCTCAATGAACGCAAGCAGTACACTGAAATTACTAAAATAAATACTAAAACTAGACGCGAAACACGACATTTATCGGCACATAGAACAATTAAATTTGGAGTTCCTCAGGGGAGCGTTCTCGGACCATTGTTGTTTTTGATTTACATAAATGATCTTCCACGACAAATTGATCATCCTATGGTATTATTTGCAGATGACAGCACCTCTTTAATTAAATGTAATAATAAGGTAACTTATGAAAGTCAAATAGATAGTCAACTAACATGGAAACCTCAAGCAGAAAAGATTTGCAAAAAACTTAACGTCTCAGCATACGCTTTACATAATTTGGCTAAAAAAGTTAATGTTAATACCATTCTAATTGCATACCATGGTCTAGTTGTTTCTTTTTTAAGATTTGGCATAATATACTGGGGTAACTGTAGTCAAAGGGAGAGTATTTTCAAAGGACAAAAACGATGCCTTAGAGCTATTTTTAATTTGAAGGTCACGGACACTTGTAAACCGATTTTCAAGAAATATAATCTCTTAACATTTCCATGTTTATATATATTTGAAGTCGCGGTTTTTGTGAAAACAAATAAGCACCTTTTCCCTTCATTGAGAGAAGCGAGAAATCGTACTATAAATCTGAGGTCTCAGTATCATAATCTTTTATGTACAGGCAATTACAAAACTGCTTTGTTGAGAAGAAACATATTGACCATGGCCCCTATCATATACAATAAATTACCGAACGAAATAAAAGAATTAACTAGTGTAAAATTTAAAAAACTATTGTTTTCCCTTCTAGTCAACAAATGTTATTACTCAATAAATGATTACCTAATGGACGAAACATAACATTGTAATAAATTAATGAATAAAAAATGTATCTATATATGTATAACTCAATCATGTATCCATCTTTCGTTGTTAATTTTGATTAATATGAATTTATAATTATAATTTTAATTGCATTGTTTAATTTTAATTTATAATTTAAGTCTAATATTTGCATTGTTATTTAATTTCTAATTTTAATTTAATGGTTAATTTTAATTTATAATTTAAGTCTAATATTTGCATTGTTATTTAATTTCTAATTTTATTTAATGGTTAATTTGAATTTATAATTTGAGCCTAACATTTGCATGCCTTAAGGTTGTTCTTATACTTTCTATTATATACACCTTTATTCTGTACCTGCATTCTTAGCAAATAAATATTATTATTATTATTATTATTATTATTATTATCTACATATCATATGTATAACATATTAAATTTTCCATCACGATTAAGCTTTTATCTGACCAATGTTTAAATATGAAATGAATTTCATTTTATTAATGGCGTCCTCATAAATGAGGTGCCAGCTCGTGTCTAAAGTAATTTTAATTACATATTTTACGGCGGACAAAATTTAAAGCTTCTGTTGAATGTTGCTTAGTCATACTTAAAATAATTTAATATATAAGTCCATTTTCAATGAAAAAGGGAATATATCACTAGGTCGATGCGTAATTTTATCTTTTTCAAATCAAATGAAGCCGTTACTTAAAAGATATTGGATAAAGCTAATATTTTTATTCTGTTTCGTCTATTTTTGTATTCTCCTTTTTATACTTTGTTAATAGTTCTGCTTATGAGAAAGATATTGACTGATATTTTAATTTAAATTTCTTTTTTAGTTTTGTAATTTTTAATTTTAATTTTTTTATAACAAACATTATTATCTGTTTGTTATAAGAAAATTAAAATTAAAAGAATGTTGTGTTAGTTTTTTTATTTTTAGCTCAAGAACGACTGCACGGATTTGGCTGAAAATTGGTGGTAAGATAGCTTAGAACGAGGAAAGGGACGCAAGATACTTTTCATCCGATTGAAAAAGAAAAATAAAATAAAATAATCAAATCCAAAATCTTCTTATCTACTGTCTTTAACTGAAAGTAACGCACATGAAGTCGCGGACAAAAATTAATATATAAAGAAGCAAACAAAACAGACATTTTCATCTCTTCCCGTGATCACGGTTGCAGCAAAATAATCAAAACGTCGATAATATGCAGTTAAAATAATAAATCCGAAAATATTAGTCTTATTTACAAGGTTTATTTTACCCAATCTCACAAATTAAAAGCACATAATTCTGTTTAGAAGTTATTGTAACATATTCGTCTTTAATACAAACTTATAAATCTCATTTGTATTTTTAAAACGAACTTATAAGAGTTCATCACAATTTGAACCGATCTTCATTGAGATCAAAAATGAAATGTACCTTCAGGTAAAGGTAAATAATTCGTTCCATTACCGTGTTCAAGGGGACCTCATTACATTATCTCCGAGACCGATTCTCGACAAAAACCAAATCACGACTGGATGAGGACGTCACAAAGTCGCGATGAAGAAAAAAAAATTAAAGATACCCATATAAATTACCCCGATATTATGATTGTTAGTGACTTATTTGTATATAAAATTGTTACCATATACGAAATTAATATCGATACAGTTTTTAGGGGTAATTTTTGTTCTGAATTAAGGGGAAGTCAAATGTTTACGTAAAATCCTTTAGTGTATAGAATATGAAACAATATAATATAGATAATAATTTTCAATTAATCTATATTGTACGTCATTTTAATCCCAACGGATGCAAAAGGGAGAAACGGTCTAATAATTACCTTGTTAATTTAAATGGAAGCAATTATTGCTTTGCTTTTATAAGTTATAAATTTATATGTCTTTTTAATGTTTCGTGTTTCCATTCGTGACTACTGATAAAATCGGTTTTAATGCTACAATAGTGGATCTACGATTGCACCATTTATGATAGTGTGACATAAAAACGAACCCATTACCTCATATTCTAATGGAATATATAATATTTAATCACGATATCCACTATAAAATTATTCTTCTTCTACCTGGCAATTTCCCAGGTTTAGCCAGGGTCTGCCTTACATGTTGTGAATAGTTTTGGCTAATTGTTTTTACGACCGGCCGCCTGCCTGACATCAACCCTCTTTGGGAAAGCATTAATCAGTGATGTCTAAATACTCTTAGGAAGTACATATGACTCGGAAAAATTACATTGATACTTGCCAGGATCGAACCCGCGCCCTCACGCATGAGAGGCGGGACTTTTAACCATTAGGTCACCACTGACGAATATCATAGGGGTTTAATAAATTTTTATTTAATGGTGAAAATTGTTATAATTTTTTATTGGGACGTACCAAGCAGGATATTTAAATTGCTTAATCTGTATCGCCATACATAAAATTAGTGTGTGTTTCTCAAAATAAATAACCCAAAAGGGTTACTTGATTGATGTTTAATGGTGTATTTTAACTGTTTACATTGTTCATTTCAGCGGCGAAACAGAAGGAAATATTAAACTATGTTTAAGTAAAGAAAATACCATTTGCGCTGCAAGAAACCTGAACAAACATGACCTTTACAAGCTTTTAACGTTACTTTCAGTTAGTTCAATAGCAACAACACTCAAAAGGTGATCATGGAATTCAGAGTCACAGAACTGACGCTCAGATTAATCGGTCTTTTCAATACTGAAACTTTCATTTTATTGACGGTTTAAACACTGCAACTTGTCGAATGAATATATAATGCATAATTATTGACACAAATATGTAAAGAGCCTTTGTTAATTCATTTCTTCCAAGCCAGACTGTGTGTTTTCATTTCGTCATCAGCCACTGAGAGTTTTATTTATATTCAGTTGTAAAATGCAGGTGTGTGTGATCCGGGGTAGCGACTCCGTCCGCTAACGTTCATCTTTCCCCTTCCCAGTTCCCCTGCCTTCATTATAGCTGGCCGGGTCGTAGGGGCGAGGGGAGGGCGACGGGGTTGCCAATTACAAAGGTACTTTTAGTCCGGAATGCGAGGTACTTAAACACTCCATAACAACGCTCATATAGGAAGTCTACTATTAGGATCCCTGAGTAATGCCTGACACGCAATTTACATATCCGTACCGAGCTGCTAGACATATTACATTTGTGAAATATCTCTGTCGTTTCTTGATGTATATTACAATCGTGAAAGACAGCGTTTCCATATTAAAAACAGAGGTTTAAATTTGTGTGGTATAAATAGTATTATTTTAATTTCATATTATTAGTTTGTTACTTTTAGCGTAGTTTCCCATTGTTTTGTATTTATGATGGGTGAATGAATGGTTAGTTGGAGTGTGTATCTGGCAACACACGAGCGTGGGGTCGGCTGGGCGCGTCCTGCCGCTGCGTTAGTCCGCTTCAAGCGGCGCGGTTGCTCAGCGCTCCGCGGTGTCCCGGCCGGCCGCCTTAAGGTACACCTCCTGTTGCGCACTGCACTACAATGTTTATGTTAATGCCCTCTCACTATCTTTGTATGAACTGTGCGTAGTTTTTCGCGCGCTTTTCGAGCTCTTTTTTTTTTTAATTTATTTGTTAAGCATTTCTCTCGTAGTTCTTGTAAGATAATTCACAAAACTTTCAAACAATTTTTCGCTTTGTATATACTTTGTGTAGAGAAATTCGTTTTCTTGCAGATACTATATTTTTTTTCAAAAAAGTAATTCTGTTCGAATTTCGATACTCAAATTTTCTATAGAAAATATGTGCTTAAAATTAGACGACATCTTCGCAAAGTTCTTAACACTTTGTTCCGCTCGTAAATATTTTAACGAGCGAGAAGGGTCTAACTTGACATTTCTATACGGTATAAATATTAACATGTTTGAGTTATTACTTCAATATATTTTCTCTGCATACTATTAATTTCCACTTTATTTGCTTGCCGCATATTAATTGAGAAAAGCTTTAAATGTTATACTTATATTTAAGACATTATTCGTAGTTCCGTGATATTTTGATACGAATTAATTAACAAATTATTTTTATATATATAATATTTCTACAAACATCAGTGTGATGGCAAGTAAATGTTTATTTTGTCCGTTATTTCAATGGGATCGTTTATAATTGTTTGTTTTTCACCCATCTTTGTTGCGAGGTGTAATTTCGGGGCAGGGAAGGAAGCTGGTTTAATTTCTCAACAAACAAAGGACCAATTCTTTGTTTACTAATGTTTTCATTTATAACAACAGTATTTTCACTTATTACAACACTAGCTGTGTTATATTAAATTGTTCTGAAACATTCCGATGACCAATTAAAGTTACTGAGAATTACTGGCTTGTAATTACGAAAGAACATTTATTTCTTAACCAGACGTTATTGTATGGACCTGTTGCTAATTGCTTTTTTATGTGCTCATCTGACGCAGATGTATTGTCTTAAATACTTATTTTTTGGTCAAAGATAATCGTCATAGTATCGGTATATTAGTTTAAATGTAAGTTTTGTTAGAATCTCTTAATCTTTGATGTGTTTTGCGGTTTGGGGTTTGAGTTTTAGGTACGGATTAGTGGAATAGAACTCAGTGAATCAAAGCCCAGGTGGTTTAGAACGAATTTAGGTTTCCAAAATGAGTTGTATATTGTGAATAATTTTAATAATAAACTATTTATTATAAATACTTTTTAAAAGTCAAATAAGTCGGTAACATGTGTATATGTTGAAAGATTTTATGAATCGTTTTGCCTTTGAAAATATATTACCAAATTACATGAAAAATATTTCCTAAAACTCAAATAAATAAATAAACATCGAATTCATTTAAAGTTTAATTTTAAAATCATTTTATTATAAGTAGATATAAATAAAATAGAATAATCGTGAAAACTCAATTATTTAATATAATGATATAAAAAATTGTCTTTTAATGAAATCAAATAAGTGTAGGCTTTATAAGTTGAGGTGTTTTCTGTATGTAGTATGTATTATTATCGCCAGTGGCATATTAAAACAAAAGCCAATTTTCTGGTGAAAATTAACTTCTATTTTTTAGCGCCTTTTAAAAAGAAAAGCAATCTTAAATATCAGATAACACGACTATTGTAATTCTTAAGAAACAAAGTGATAATTTCTGTATATTGAAAATTAAATCATGTATTAAAATTAGCAAAATATTAAGATTTTAATGTTTAAATTAAAGTTTTAACTAGACCGGCAACGCATCTACAAACACCCCTTGAGTTTTAGATGTCTAAAGGCGACGGTAACTACTTGCCATCAGGTAGGCCATCTGCTCGTTTTACCTTTTGGCACATAATAAAGTGATACATTTCAAGTCTCTGTTACCACAATGAGCTCTCGTTTTTTTAGTGTATAGTCCAAATAATGAGTAGTTAAAATCCAATCAAATCCTCGGATTATCCTGTATGGTATATCATATTAAAACTAACGTATTATCTGCTAGGCCGGTTGTAATCTGAGTTTATAGCGAATTTAACCTAAATACGTTAAGCTATTGTGTATTAAATAACAAAATTACATCGTATCATAATGTATTAAAGAAGACCTGTTATACTATTTGTAACTCAAGAACTTGGTGAGGAGATAGCTTAGAATCAAGAGACGGACATACGATATTTAATTCTATTCGATAGAAAAAAGTTTTTTTTTTAAATAAATTTCCAATATCGGGTTATTTCACCAATATAGGGTTCGCCCGGTCAGCTATACATATGAAAGCAATACCGAAATTAACGCGGACGAAGTCACGGACAAAAACTAATATATATATTTTATTTAAATGAATAACTCTATACTGCTAATATCTTAAAAAATATATGTCATTTTAAATGTAAATATTAATATGCAATACATAGTATTTTGAATTGAAATAAAATATACGAGTATGAGATCGTGAACGTGTTGACACAGCGATCTCATACTGTGAATAAATATATGTTTAGAGAGAAAATACATTATTTATTTATTTATTTATTTATTTATTTATTTTGAGGGCCACTAGCAGCTACTACATGTTTAAACTTCGTAAACGGAAACAGGTAACATGTGTAGCTTTTTAAAACAACATCCCATTGTTTTAAAAATATATTAACATTTAATTATTCGAGAAGATCCCAAATAATAATAATAAAATAATATAATATAATATAACAATAGTAATAACAATAATAATATAATAAGTAAATTCATTCATAAAAAATAATAAAAATATTCAAAACAATACATAACGTGGTATATAATGTACAATATATATACATATATCAAAGTTACCTGTATATGAATTTCATCAAACATATTATCTTTGTTCACTTCAAATCCATTATCTAATGAAAATTAATAATTCACTTGTGTTTTCCCATGACGCTTGTATTTTTTGTCTCATCCGTGATTAAAGCTTTTATAAATAACAATATAAAGATAGAGAGAGATAGAAAATGAGAGAAAGAGATAGAAAATGAGAGAAAGAGATAGAAATATCCAATTTATTTAAGGAATAAATTCGTATACAATTGACAAGTTTCTAAATAAGTCCTGGATTCAAATGAACTTAATAAAATACGTTGTTGAATATTCTCTGTATGATCAAAACCTACTTTTCTCTCATATATATCGATCAAAGTTTTACATTTTTGTGGCGACGTAGAATTTGTGTGAAAAAATATATTGTGAAATTATTATATGAACAATATAGTCTAGACGATTGCTTGATGTATTAAACGCTATCAAATGTAGTAGGCTGATTGATTATATATATTTAAATGTATATACATTAAAATAAATGAATATTACATTCACATATAGATAATGAAAATAATAAGACAGTTTTCGAAGTAGTATTTAATGTTTTTTTTTTTTGGAATTAATGTTAAAAAGGTGGAAATATATCGTACATGTGAGATAGTAAATTGTACTTGATATAACATAATATGTGACGTACATAATGCGTATAAATAATAAAACACTGAATATAGAAGGCCTTTACGAAAATACAAGACTATTATAATAAAAGAGACTTAATTTTTAATATAGCGTATCCGATATTAAGAATCTATAATATAACTAGCTTTCCGCCCGCAGCTTCGCCCGCGTGGAGTTCAATTATATCGCGTTTCCAAGAGAACCTTTCAAAAGTCTGGGATAAAAACTATGCTATGTTCTTTCTCGAAGTCTACTCTATCTCTGTACCAAATTTCATTAAAATCAGTTCAGTGGTTTAGGCGTGAAAGCGTAACAGACAGACAGACAGAGTTACTTTCGCATTGATAATATTAGAAGGAATTTATAGTAAATTTTTTTGCTACAGACATGACGTCAGATATAAGTATATTCTTTCGTATTTCTTTCATTGTTCAATACTCTAAAACAAATTTGCGTCCTTAGACAAAACAGAGACAATTTTATATCCAAATATCTTTGTATACTATCATATGAAAAAATATTTTTTTATTGAACTACTGAAAAATATCATTTAATGTAGACTTGTAATTAAAAATAGATATAGATTTCTTTGTAAACTGAATTTGAATGATAAATAGAACTTAATATATGTAGAATGTTCTCTTTTAAAATGCAAACCAATTAAGTGGTATAAGTTGGTTTCTGAATAAATTATAACATAATTATACATTCGTATGCAATTTTATAATATAGGTTAGTTTGTAAGCATTGCAGCTATATCGATTTTAACTTATCATTTAATTATTCAATATAACTTTCTTATAAAAAAGTTGAATTAAAATATAATTTTCAAATAATATTTTAACGTACATAAAATAAGGCGTAGCGGATTCGTAGCTTATTCGTAGCGATGCTACATTCGTAGGTCTTTCGTAGCTTTGACAATACAGTCCTTTGTGTTCACGTATGTGGGAAGATAAAGAATATATTGTATGGCCAATAATTGGGTGGAAATCTATTTAAAGGTATAAAAAGCAATCCCAAAAAATCTAGATTTGTTGGATTTAGATCCAAATCTAAATTCCATTGTTATATATTACAATAATGAGATCTAAGATTTTCGCGAAAATTCATTTAAATGAAACTAATATTTTTTTATATACTACGGCATAGATCACGGTTCTAAAAAGCAGCCGACACGTCGGGACTATGTAGTTATTTACAAAAATAAAGTTGTTTAGTATATTCCGAAAAATATTATTTTCATTTAAATTAAATTACAATACAATTATTTTTAATATAAATTGTTAGGTGTATAATAAGTAACAATATTCTCGGTACCTGCATATTTGTAAGTCACGTACATATTGTAAGTCATTATAAATGCAGGATTTGTCTTGAGATCTTGTGACGTAACTGTAAAGCCGTGCTTATATTTCGTATATTTTTATGTAAGTTTTATTTTTATGTCACGTTTCATAGTCAATATACTGAAAGTATATAATGTTGGGTGATTATCTTATGATTTCTTCCTCATCTTTTGATTCCATCCATACCACTGAC